TTTCTATTTCCAGTTAGCAGTGTGCTTTCTTTAATATGATATGTCTGCATAAACCACTGGGATTTTTGTTGTTGTTGTTGTTGTTTGTTTTGTTTGTTTCAGATTTCCTAAGGCCATCTTGGCATTTTCTTGCTCTTTTCTCCTTTTTAGAGATGGGAGATTTTCTTACTGAGGGCAATGCATTTCTACATTGGAGTTTATTTGTTTCCTTTAGTTTTTCTCAGAAAAACAATCAGAACTCATCACTGCTGTAGTCATGGAGATTTCATGTCTCCAGAAGAAATCCGATTGTGGAGTTTCTTTGTTAATCCCATACCAGACATTTAAGCTTCCTTGTTTGGATCACAGCAGTCCAGGTGGGGAAGCCATCGGGACCATTGCTGCACGGTTCCTAATCCAGGGTGGGCAGGGAGAAGTGTGTGGATGGGGGCAGGGACATGCAGGCTGTGCATATAACAGATTCTCCCAGGCTGGTGACTGGACAGACGTAGAAGCAGAGACTCTCAGTTCTCCACGGTACCACGACCTCAACACAGCCATAACCAACCTCAGATCTCTTTGCAAACCCATCCTCCTGTCTTTCCTACCATGGCACCACTATCTGCTGAGTTGTCTACGCCTGACTCTGTCTCCTCCTCTCTTTAGTCTTAACTTCCATTGTAGGGGTACCTTCCACTTAGTGCATGCTCCCTGCTTCCTCCCCTTCCAGCCTTCAATTATTGGTTCTGGTTCTTCATTCCAGTCTCCATGTAACCATCCCTTGCACCTGTTGGGCCAGTTTTCTGCTCTCTGCATTGCTGCTAGAGCAGTCAGAGCAAGTCTTTGCTGAATAACAGAGAGACCAGCAAATCTGATGCTACTTCTTGTTTAAAATCCTTAATGGGTCCCACATCTTTTAGGATAGATTCCATTTTTTTTTTTTTAGAGTGGTTTTTGCCTTGGGGCACATGCACTTGCTAGAGAGAGAGACAATACAAAGAAAAGTGAGAAATCAACCCCTGGGGAATGGCCATACTGCAATCCCTTCTCCTCCGTACTCCTCCTGGGATCTTGGGCACGCATACATATGCACCCAATGTGGATTTCAAGCCACTAGGTCTGGGACTCAAACTGTGACCAGCCATGTTGGGGTCCAGCAACATAACCTCTATGCCATCTGCTGGTCCCAGATTCCAAATTCTTAGGCCAGTCAGGGATTTTCAAGATTGCACCAGCACCATCTCTTGTCACTTCCCATTTGCATGCTGTGGCCCTGCCATTCTGCGTGCATAAGCAGCAACATTCTGGATGACGCTGTGTTAAGTGTGGTGTGGAGAAGGCTCTCCAGCTCACGTTGTGTGGTCACATTCCAGCTCCATCATCAAGCTCTACAACCCAAGGCACAGATCACCTCTCTGTACCTCAGTTTCCTCATCTGTAAAATGGGGCTAGGAGGGCTGTGGTGAAGACCAAACGTGAGAATCTGTGTCACGTGCTTCAACCAGTGCCTGGCAGATACACTCTCTAATTGTTACCCGGGATTATCATGACGGGGATTACTTTATCCTATGCTGCTTTCTTCTGCCTAGAATACGCTCTTCTACCTTTTTCTGACACTTCCTATCTGTCCTTCAAATCTCAGTCCCAATGTCACACAGCCTTTTTGAAACCAGCTTCTGTAGCCAGGTGTTAGATTGTCGGGAAAGTCCTGACGTGTTTTTCTGGGCAAAAAGGCATCATGACTTTCCTGAGGACCCAGTAGCATTCCAAGCGTAAGTTGCAGAGTGAGAGTGTGTGGTTTAAGATCCTAGTTCTGCTTCTCTTCATTTTGCTCTGCTTTAACCTTACTAAGCCCTGGTTTCCTCATGTGAAAAATTATGGTAATAAAATAATAGTATGTACCTCATTAGAGTTTTCAGGAAAGAATATGATGTGTATAAAGACATACGTAACATATGCCAAATACTTCCTTCTTAAGGTATAATTTTTATAAGCAGCCTTTCTTACCTTTTATCAAGAACAAACCACAGTATTATTTTAATCTTTTTACTTGTTTCTCTTGGCATCTAGACTGTAGGTTATTTAAGTTCAGGGACAGGGTCTTTTTCAACATTATATCGTAAGCACTGGACACATCATTGAGTTAGTGGGACAGACAGGGACCAGCTGCTTTGTCTGTACATGTGACCATTTGCACACATTAAGAGATTCTGGAGAACTGTGATGATAGAGAAGGGAAGAATCTTTCCATGGAGTGGGGGAAGAAGGCTGGTTTTTTTGTTTGTTTTGTTTTGTTTTGTTTTGTTTTTCAAAAGTACTGAAGACTGGAGGTTGATTGTGTTACATTATTTCATTGGGCACAAAGAGAATCTTGGAGAGAAGTCTGTCCCAGAAGGGCTGGGACTCAACCCCTGAGACACGGCACATATTTAATCAGTGGGATTGATTACATCTCACTAGTTCTTAAACAAAGTTGTGTTGGCAAATATTTAACAACTTTTCAAAGCCCTGATTATCTAGTGTTTGCTGATTACCATGGCCACTTTCAAACTACCACTGCGTTACCACCGTGATGTTAATCAACTCACAAGATTCTTCTAAACTTTACCCATCAGCCAGTAATGAGCTGGCCTCAGCACAACACTTGTTCAAACTTCTTATTTCAGTTTTTCTGTCTGTCAAATGTGAATCCTGTTCACATGTGACTATCCTATTTCCCTGTCAGGGGAAAATGGATCAAGTGTGACAGGAGCGTGGCGATTTAGTGTTTTAGCAGTGCTGCATATACTCTCTTACATTGAAACTCCCTTCCCAACTGCTGGTTGTGTTCTTGCTGGGGCTGGGATATGTGCTGATGATCTCCTCTCTAAGCAGCCTGTCCAGGGTTCTGCTCAGAGCAGGGTATTTAGTTTTATTCTCCCGATCGGAGCTGTGCTTTCTGCAGCAGACTGACTCAATTAGCCTTCCATTCCAGAGTCCAATTGTGAGTCAATTCTGAGGTTGTTAAGCAAAATGAGTCTGGTGGCATTAGCCTTGCGCTGAAGGACAGTAATCCGTATCGCAGTGTTGTTCAGTTAATAGTCTGCTGGAGAGACTGCAAGAATCGGAGACACGGAGACAGAGCGACCTTTCGTCCATCTCTGGGGAACAGGCTGGGAGCATGGGACTGCCTTGTCAAAGAGCCATTCCGCGGCCAGGTTGTGTGCAGAACTGGAGCCCCAGCTGCCTGAACTGCAATTGGCCTTCGCAAAGTTAGAAGCTCAGTGCCACTAGATCATTAACTTTCATGACCAGAAAAATTCTTCTGAAATTAACACTCAATCCAAGCTGGATGCCATTGGAGCCAGTTGAGTAAGCTTGAGCCACCTTTAGGGATTTCCTCTGAAAAATAAATCCTGTAACCAGGCTACAGAAAATCGCCAGGTTTTATATCTTTCAGTGCGTTCAATTAAAGTCAGAAAACACCAACGAGGCAGGGATGGTGGTTGAGGTCCAGGCACGTACACATGCACAGCCTCATTTGGAGGATTTGGCCAATCCACTCAGCTTCAGCACATGGCCCTGCATGGGAAACATTATAAAAGATCTCTCTGAGGAGTGTCGCGCAGAACAAAGGAAAGAAAGCAGACCTCCGGCACCTGTCCCGGGGACTCGCCATGGGGGAGCCAGGCACACCGAACACACTGAACACGCCAGATCTGCACAGATAGGGAGGCTTGGACACGCCTGCTAACAAGGGTTCAAGGAGAGAACCCACCCCTCAAGAACATGAGGCAGCCTTTGCAGTGCACTGTGAGCTGAGATCATTTCATCAGGCCTTGTAAGCCCCTGCTAGTTAAAAGTGTAGGAAAGGGATGCATAATGTGCTTCCTCTAAACCTTTTACAGACCTCTGTGATCCCTGCACATCCTACCCTGCTCAGCTCTGCCAGCCCCAGCTTGTTTATATTATAAAGTATGCAAGTAAAGTCAGTTTCTTGGGTGGAAAGAAGTAAAAACAGCACTGGGGTCGTCAGCAGCCAACTCAGGGAGAGAGCTGAAGACAGAAGAAAACTGAGACAACCTCCCATTGTCTCCTATAATTGCCGGATAATTTAAATTCTTGTGAAGTCCTTTGTGTTCTTCCATAGAAACAGAGCTGTTGTCTGCTGAGATGACTCAGAGGTGGCCCAGCTCTCATTCAGGGATCTCTCCAACAATACCCTCTTCAGACTGAAAACCAGCCAGTTGGCCACAAAGTGCCCTCTTCCTCCCCAGACTGGTGTGTGTGGCTTTTCTTCATTTCTGGGTCTCTGCAACTTTACTGCCACACAGGACTTCTGGGGGACCACAAGGCCTCCGGGGAGTTGCCAGAATACAGCCGATGCTGTGCTTTGATTGGTGGGCGCTCCAGGCCTGGCTTCTGACCACAGGCCCTCTGCGCCCAGGGCCAGCCTCACCCATCTCACTCCTGGAAGGCAAGCTGCCTCTCTGTGCCCCTCGTCTGGACTCAGCCGCTATCCCTGGGCTGGTGGATGAGAGATGACTTATAAGACAGATACGCATTCTTAAAGCCAGTAGGAGTTATGGGAGCAGATGGGCTGTAGGATCTTATTTTGATGCCAGGGACATGTTTCTGTATAAAGTAAATATTTTCCCAATGTGGATCTCCCGTGAGTGTGTGAAGAAGCATATTTCCTAACGATGCAAATAAGTCTAGTCAGAAATAAATATTGAATGGAAACTTCAAAGCTTCTAGATTTCTCCAGTTATAGGCCCTGAAGACTTCTCTCCAAATAAGCCGGCACACACAGGTGGGCGAGGGCTGGAGGGACACTTGGGGGCTGTGTAAGAAAGGATGCCAATATTTTCGTAGTTGATGTTTTCTCTGTATTTGTGCCTCTGTGTGTGTGTGTGTGTGTGTGTGTGCCTGTGTGTGTGTGCGTGTGTATAAAGAGGCATATCAGCAAAGGAGTAAAGTTATGTCTGTCCAGAGGCTTAGGAATGTTTTAAAGCACATTTCTCCCCCTTTTCCTATTGTAGATCTCGCCTTGCAGATTTTTTTACCAACTGCCAACCAGAGTCAAGGTCTGTCAGCAGCTGTCTAAAGGAAAACTACGCTGACTGCCTCCTCGCCTACTCGGGGCTTATTGGTAAGGTCGGGGAGAAGAGGGGCTGGGGGAAGAGGCCGGTTAACAAATACCCACACTCTCCACTGCAGCCTGCTGATGTCTGCAAAAGAGAAAAGCTCCCAGTAACCCCCTGTGCTGGGGTTTTGATGTCAGCCCGTTAGGACTTGCCTGAAAAGAAAGAAAAAGAAAGAGGATAATGGATACGTGAAAGGCAGAGGCAGGAAACAGGGATTATGAAGGAGCAGGAAGACTGTGAGTGCAAGAGGAGTGTGAAGCCTCTCAGTTGGGGAACTGACCACGCAGAACAGAAGGAGGGGAACAAAGCCTCGTTAAGGAAGCAGAGAGCAAGTCAAAGCGAGTTAATTGAATGAGAGAACTTTGTAGAAAGCAAACTTGGAAGTCACTCAGTCTAAGGAAATCACAAAAGCTGTTTCCCAGAAATGGCCATTTGGAAATAAAATCCTTAAGTACCGGGGTCTTTTGCACCATTAATATTCTTGGTAATGCAATTCCCAGTGTTCAGGGGGAGATTTAGGCTACCTTCTCCCCATCCCCCCCCCGCCCCCAAAAATAGGCACAGCAGAAACATGATTCTCCTAAAGCTTCTGTCTTTGGAGACCCCAAGGCTTTAGAAGAAGTGCAAGCTCAGCATTTAAGACAAGCCCAATTAAACGAGGCACCCCTGAGCTGGAAGAGAGCCTGAGTGAGGCGAACTTGTGCCCCAGGATAAACGGGCTGGCAGGTGGAAAGGCAGGTATCCCAGACACCCTGGACAGCAGAGTCCTGGCAGCAGGGCTCCCTGGCAGTTGGCATTTGAGAAGGAACACATGGTGATGGCTTGGAAGGGTGAGAGAAATCACAGTTGTCAGAGTGCAATGGTTTGGCCAGAGTGTGCATTCCGTGTCAGGGTCGGACACGTCAGCAGCAGGAAGAACCTCCCACCAGGAATGACAGCACAGACTAAATGTCAACAGAGTGTCTTGAGCAGGAGCCTTTGGGGAGATCAGGGAGGAGACTTAAGGCAGGGAGATTGCAGGACACAGTAGGTACTCTCAACTTGTTCGAACCTGTGATACCTATGCTCCCGTGGGGAATACCTTTTTCTAGTTGGTCACTGTTTCTATTGATCTGACTGATCAGTGTACCTTCCTTAATACTCTAGATGTATATTCAGTCTCTCCTTAAATAAATTAGTTTCTAGGGATCAAGTATCAACTATGGAATTACAGAAATAATAACAGTAATTAAGGCATACAAACAATTCAGAGAAAACTGCAGAAGAAAATAGTAAGTACCTAAGCCACACTCTCAGGTGTAAGTCACCGTCAACACCAGCCTGTGTGTTCCCAGGTGGACGTGCTCATTTACTCTCCCACAAGGGGCCAGGGTGAGATACCACCTGCATTTCCATGAGGTCCTTCCTAGGCTCGGCCCACCCTTCCTACTACCTGAGGATGGTGAAATGAACACTGGTAGAGGCAGTGCATTCTACAGACCAGAATTTATTTCTCTGCTGCAATTGGATCTGGTCCTCTGTGCTAGGTGCTGTGTCTCTGGATTCTGACTTCTTTCTGCACAAAGCTTATTCTATTTCTCCCATGTGTCAAGGACCCAGTATGGTGCCAGACATACAGCGGCCTTCATCCCCTCACTCAGTGTTTCGGTGCTTTTTTTCTTTTCTCAAAGTTAGGAGTTCCTTATAAGCTGTTGGTTAAAGTTCTCACCCCAAAGTACAATGGTAGAGTGGGGCAGTATCTAGTTCATGTGAGTAAGGAATATGTGGCAAAGACAATATGCCTTTGACCAAGAGGAGTTTATCAAAAAAAAAAAGAAAAGAAAGAAAGTTTTTCTTTTGACCACCTGCCATTTCATACTTCTACAAACTATATAAAAACAAAAGATTTCTTGGCTTCAGTGGGCATGGCCTGGTGGAAGCCACCCAGGAGAAGACATTTGGGTTACATTCCGTGTAAATGCACCGTGTATGTGTGCTAGCGTAGAGCTCACCAGAAAACCCATGAATTGCACAAGATGTAGCTGGGGGGACCACCCAGCATTTCTTTGAGGATTATTGAGGGTCCACAGACAATACTGGAGGAGCCACAGACTTAGAGAATTTTCATCATTTGTTTCCAATTCTTCTACCACTTGGAAGACTTTATTTAAATCAGTCAAGAGTCTGGAATGCAAGAGATTGTACGTTCAGGATGTCGGGGACCCCCATCACAATAGCTTCTAAGCTTCCCTTGGATTTCTCTGAAGAAACATTTACTTCAGAAGGAAGTGGATTCAACACCCTGAAAAGATGTAAAACCAGTCCTATCTAGGTATGAAGATGAATGACATCTTCCAGAAGATGTAAAGGATTTGGCAACTCACTGCATTCCGAGTTAATTCTCTCTACTCCATGACATACATAACCATTTGTGCAGGGAAAAGTACCGTAAGTACAGCTCAAAGAGTTTCGTTATAGTTTTTAAAGTAAATGTGTGAATTATTTTGTGCTCAAGATAAATTGCCAAGAGAATGCACTGCTTAATATAATTTCCCACTCAGCCCGCCCAGTGTTTGTAATTATCCATGGTGCATCCACGTCGGAGGGACATTTGCTTCTTTTTAGGCTGTGGAAAAGTCCATACCGTCACACAAGAATAAAATGCCTTGTTTCTACTCTTCCAGGCACAGTCATGACCCCAAACTACATAGACTCCAACAGCCTCAGCGTGGCTCCATGGTGTGACTGCAACAACAGCGGGAATGACCTGGAAGAGTGCTCGAAGTTTCTGAATTTCTTCAAGGACAATACATGCCTTAGTAAGTTTGAAAAATATAAGAAATAAACACGTTTTCCTATCCGAGCTCAAGCTGTCCCTTCTTAGGTGTTACATGTGCTTCCGCCATCTCTCTTTCTCTCTCTGTCCCTTTGTCCTGATCAGTGATGGTGACTCCAGCTCCTTTTGGCACACTGTGCAATGCAGTAGAGAACTGAGTAAGTGATGAACGGGGCGCTGCCAAAGCTCTGAATCCACAGGCCTAAGAGAGCAAAAGATTCAAATAACGGAGGGCACATTATGTGGGGAAGAATACTTCTATCCGCAGATCAAATTTTGATCTTGGCAACCAGCAGAGAGTCTGTTCCAAAGGTCCTTAAAACCTGGGCAGAATAGACAATGTGAGAAGCTCAGACAAATTAGTTGGGGAGAGGCCTCCAAGGACTCTCTGAGAAAAATTAGAATGTTAACATCAATAGCCCCTTGGATGTTCGGGGTTGGCTCAGAGGAGAAGCAACAATTCTTGAGCGGGATAAACTGGCAATGCAGCCAAGAGACTCAGGATGTTGATTATCTTGGGAGACGAGATAAGTACTGGGGTGGAGGGAGGGGGCTCCTGCTTGGAAACAGAATCAGTGATTATTACAGTGTCCTTTAGGCAGTTTGGAAACATGTTTCCCAGAGGGACAGCGATAGAGAGAAATGTACAGAGGGAGCGATGGGCATTCATCAGACTGAAAGCACGGTGCCAGGTCTCTTCTGTCCGCCACGATGTGCGTGCATCTGCGGCAACCCAGCTGGGATGCTTGAAATTTCCGCTCGCTTCTGTGGCAGTCACTGTTAATTGGGTGCCTTTCATGTGTCTGAACTCGTTCTATAGGTGTGTATATGTATTATCTGCTTTGTTGTAATCTGCTTAGGAAGCCTAGGAGACGCAGGCATTGTGATCTTCGTCTGCCAGCTGAATAAAAGACCGGGATTCACATAGACCAGTCATGCCCGAGCTAGGATCCAAAGCCCAGGATTCTTTTACAGCCCCCTGTCTCCTGAGTCCTCGGTCATGCCTGATACTTAAGGGCCTGTTGGCTAAGAACATAGGCCTGGAAGTCAGGTACCAGGTCTGCCTTTCTAGTGAAAAGTATGAACCAAGTTTCTAGAATTCAAGGTTCAGCCACCCCTCGAAGAGCTGTGTCCTTGAGTGACAATTTCTCCAGGATGCTTGGCTGTAGAGTGACTGATTTTTAAAGAGTTAACTAACAATTTACCACATACACACCGAAAAGCTTTTGAGTATTATTCTAAAACCTCCTTATTTCCTTTATTGAAAAGAAAAATTCTAAGTCATTTGCTCACTAGGTGTTTTCAATAATGCGGCTGAAATCAACTGCTGTGGCTCTCTTAAAAGTAAAACAAGCTTGTGGATTCTTAAGTGAAATTCAAACCCGTGAAACTAGTCTCAAGTACGGAGGCGTTTGTTAAGTCTGGATGTACCGAGGAATTGCAGCTTAGACATCTCATTTGGTCTTGATTCTACCCTCTTTTTCACATCCTACACGCTTCTGGCAGAATGGAAGTTTTAACGAAGATAAAGCAATGACAATAGAGGTCAGTGTGAGAGAAGATTTTTCTCATGCTCGCTGGAAAACTTCTCCCTCCCAGAGAAATTAAAGTTGTCCCTTCTTAATAACATTTTGATGAAGAGGAAAATCATCTGGTATCTTATTGCTAATGACTTTTCAATAACAGTAAATGCATTTGGTCTGCAAGAGGTCCAGAGCCAGTCAAACTATTTCAGCCATTTCATCTGTACTGAGAGTAGAGAGGGTACAGGCTACCGAAGACACAGGGCTATAGATTTAGTGTTTTGCAAGAGCCTTAGAATGGAAGGAATTGGCATTTGGAGCTTCTCACCCAAACGTAGAAACCCAAGTCAACTCTCTTCAGGTTATGGCAGACCTCTCCCAGTTCCAGTTCCCCTATTATGAACGAACTCCAACCACCTGTTCACTTCTAATAATGGGGGAGGAGACTGTTTTGAAGCCAAGTGCTTGGCAGATGAAAGGGAAGAGTGGATGCGATGGAGGCGGAGGTGAGGTCTCAGTTGTTGTCACTCAAATCTTCATTTAGATGTCGCCTTCACCGAGAGCCCTCCCTGGATCACTTTATCTGAATTTCAGTCCCTCTCCCCACTGCAGTACTCCAGCAGCAACCCTTGGATTATGCTCCTACCCTTGTATTATTTTTCTCCAAGCATTTCTCACCACCTCCTGTACTATATGTTTTACGTCATTGCTTCCTGCACCCATTGCGCCCTTCATGGCTTCTTGCTCACTGTCCTACGTCTACACTAGAGCAGTGCTCGGCACTTGGTAGACATTCCATTACCATTTGAACACATGGGTGAGCAAGTGAGTAGATGAACTCCCAAAGTTGCAAGGCAGACATGCTAGGGAGAGCACAGGTAGTTTTGTGACATGGCAAGAGGCTCTTGGATCTGTATGTCTTAACAAGAAGAAGGAGATGTTTTTGGAGTTGTTCTGGGGTCATTTAAGAAACTGGTCCCTATGTACTTCTTTCTCTACAATCCACCCACCAGGTTAAGCCACATAACGTTGCAAGGAACAGAAAATGTATTTCTATTCATTTAAAGTTGTTTCTTACAGACCCAAAAAATGTAAAGTTGTAGAGAACAAGCTTCCAATTTGCTGAACTTAAAGGATAACAATTTTAGAACAAAATGTCACTTCTAAGAGGAAGATTAGGCTTAAATTATTCTGTCTTGTATATCGAAAAATGCCAACTAAGAGTTGTATATTAGCAATTTGCACATTCAGGTCCCAAATGGAAGAGTTGGATTTCTTATACAATGAATATGAAATAAAGAATCCCTAAATCCAGGCCAAATCCCGGAAGACCTGATTAAAAACTGTTTTTTATTCATTTTGGGGAGGGGAGCAACACAACCAATTTACTCTTGCCATAAAAACAATCTAATCCTATGAAATTGTAATAAGCTTTTAAAGTTTTACATTTTAAACTTTTCATTTAAACAGGGCTGCTCCTATCTAATTATGCAGATTTTGTTTGGAAGACTAGGAGCACAAATGGAAAAAAACAATCTTCCTTAGATTTTCACTAGATATTGATGACATTTGGGGTACGTTTTTCTTTGAAATACTTTATATAATTTTTTTTTCTTTTTTTTCCAAATTAGTGTGAATGCCCCTGAGTTGTCTCAGTTTCATGATTAGGAATGCTGGACTTAAAAAAAAAAAAAAAGCATTGATTAATTTCCTTTTAGTATACAATTTAGACAGAAAAAAAGGATTTTTCTTGGAAAATGGGACAATTATGATTTCAATAGGTCTAAGACTGGGGTTCAAAGGGTTTGACTGATGAGTATTTCAGGGCAAGCATCTTGCCTAGCATCTGACATGTAAATAGGAACACAATAAATATATGTTGCATTTGGAGCATAGCTAAGCATCTAGTTCGGTGTTTAAGAGGGGAATTGAAATTTGAGCACCTGACCCCGAAGACTGGCTCTTAGAATGAGCAGGGTGGATGGATGGATGGGTTTTGTTCAGAGAAGTTCAATGCTGTAATCAGAATTTCTAGTGTGCCTCTCTGGCTGTGTATATCCTGTCTGTTACATTTGCTGCTTGCCTTTGAAATTGGATTTCCTCCTGTTTTACTGCAGAAAATGCAATTCAAGCCTTTGGCAATGGCTCCGATGTGACTGTGTGGCAGCCAGCCCTTCCAGTACAGACCACCACTGCCACCACCACCACAGCCTTCCGGGTCAAGAACAAACCCCTGGGGCCAGCAGGGTCTGAGAATGAAATCCCCACACATGTTTTACCACCTTGTGCAAATTTACAGGTGAGAACTTCATCCACAGTCCCCTCTTGGAGCTCATTTTTTGGGGGGAACATGGACTCGTTTTCTGAAATGCATGTAGGGTAGATGGCAAATGCCACGCATGTTTGATCCTTAAAACTGCACTCGAAGCGTAACAATGCAGACTGCGACATGGCGTACAGTGAAGGGAAAGACTACGGAATCGAGTCTGCCTTTTGCTAGTCATAGGGCTTTGGTCAAAGCACTTATATCTCGTCCTCATTTTTTACCTCTAAGACGGGGCGTTTGGACAGACATCTTCCTAACATTTTGTTTGTGGGATAGGAGAGTTGGGTTGCCTCTTTGTTTATTTATTATACTTGTTCTGTGCTCTGCAAAGCAGCAGCATGCTGAGAGGAAAGGAGCCCTTGTGTTTGTCCCCATTCCTGCCAATTAAGTATCGCGTGGGGTATTTATGGAGAGGCAGCCTTACTAGTGCAGTATTGACTCACCTGTAGAGTCCCGGATGGGTTTGCTCTTCAGGAAACAAAAGCAAATGCACTTGGGTGTAAGAGGAGCGGGGAGCGCCCCCAAGCTGCCTCGCAAAATCCTGCATGTGAATAGAGGCCAGGAAGACTGGTCAGGACACTTCTTTGGGGTTAATTCAGGTCTGCAAGAACAGAACCACAACATACAAATGGTGATTTCCTGCCCTCAGTCAAAAGTGGAGTGTTTATTCTGCCTCTTTATTGATTTTTCATAGTGATGAGTACTCAGCTCTTTGGCAAGACATTACATATCCGTGTGTTCACAAAGTATTCTCCCACACTTCATTCGGTGCGTGTTATCCTCCTGACAGCTGCGGAAGAGATGCTGTGCCTGTTGTATTGCAGCCTTGTTCTTTTGCTTGAGGACAGAGGGGCTCAGAGAGAGACCGCTGTCCCTCCAGTCTGTCGAGTTAGTGGGTCACAGAGCCAAGGCTGGAACACTAGAGCCTCAATCTTATCAGGGTTTTCCCTGTATCTTTTGAGTAGGGGTGACCTACCTGTTGACTTCCGCCTTCTGCCATACTGGAGAAGGATGTTAGCTTGGCCTACCTGCCATGCACCATGCTGTCACCTCACTTGTGTCACTGGGGTACAGCCTCCCCAACCTCTACCACATATCATCCTCCCTGGAATGCTCACTAGAAGCCACTGTGTTCCTTGGAAAGTGTCAGGGTCGTTTTTTCTACTTCCAGTTTGCCAGATATCTCCTCAACCCTCCTCTTGTCTTCCCTTTTCCTCTCAGATACCTACATGTCACTCATCTGAGCTTTGGTCTCTGTCCTGGTTCTCCATCCACAACACAGACTCTTAGACACACTCACACGGTGCACACTGAGGGAAAGGGACATAGGGGCACCACACAGCCCAGGTCTACCAGCTGTTCCTCATACTGTTCCTCATCCTCCCGAGCCTTCACATCTCTGCCCTGTCCAGAGATGCCAGACCAAGAGGAGGTTTGGGGGATACCATGGCCTCTAACTTCCCTATCCTGCAGCAAGGCCCTGAGTTGCAGAGAAGGGAAGGGACTTGCGCAAAGTCCCCCAGTCAGTGGGAGGCAGATCGAATGTCAGATGAGGACTGCAGTCTCTTCTTCATCTTGGACTGGTGCTTTTTCTCAGTGACCTGCTTTTTCCTGGGTTGGCCTTCTGTGTTCTTTGGGTTCACTCACATTCCAGTGTCAGTAAAGACAAGTAGCCAGATGAGAGACAGGACCCTGTAATCTTAAGGTGACAGAGGTAGGCCAGTGATGGTTTCTGAAAAGTTCAGCCCTGACCACGCCAAGACCAGCTTCTTTTCTGCACATTTCTACGTGCACAGAGGGTGTGGCAGAAAGAACATTCAGCCTGTCTAAGTCCCTTCTGTGTTTTTGGAAACTTCATAAGGATAGACATTCAAAACTAAAAACAAAAATTCTCTCCTCAGTGAACTCAGTAGGTAAGGGAATTTTGGAAGCTCAGACTACATGACTAGGGACACCTCAGAACAGGAATCATTGAAAACTCTACAAAATGAGAGTTGTTACCATGAGCTGGGTAGGGGCCTGTCAGCCATAGGAGGTGTTACTGATTTCCACAGCCCCTGCCATAGTTCCCTGCCCTGCCACAGCCTCCCACCCTAGCTCCTGATGGGCAGGCCATGGCACAGTGCACAACCTGGCCACACAGCCACTGCTTCTCCTCTGACACAGACCTGCCCACCACCTCCCCTTGCAAGGAGGTCTTTGTGTACCACTGCAGGTTACCCTGGCAACAGCAAGGACCCCACAAGCTTTATTACCAAGAAGTCATGCCTTTCTTTTCCCTATGGTAGTGATAGGAACTGCTTCACACACAGAAGGGCAGAGTAACATGAAAGTATGAGCATTTATCGTATGGCTGCCATTTAACTTCTTGGCACAGGAGGATGGAGGTGCAGGACTGGCCAGGAATAAAGGGTGGCCACACCTCCCTTCCCTGTGGTGCACACAGTATCTACATAACTTGCAGCTAAACAACATTTCTGTTCCAAGGAGCCTTAAGGATGCCACTGAACCTTACCTTGACTCCTAGGATTATTACCTGCTGAGTCTGTTTTTGCACCTGTGAGACAGGAGATAAGGGCATGGGCTACACAGTCAAGCCTTTGCTCACCCACCCCTAATCTTGTCCTCACTATCATCATGGCCCCAGCACATGTACCACTTTCTCCAAGCTGCAGCTCCCTTGTCTACAATTGAGTCCTGGGTATGACCTTGCTGCTAGACTTGAGAGGATTAGATGCAGCAGTAAACATTGCAGAATGGCACCTTAGAATGTGACCTGTGAGGCTTGTCTCTAAGTCAAGCTTGGCCAGTTGGTCCCTTTAAATAGATGGGTGGTGATGCTTCACCTTGCTTGAGGGTAGAGTGCTGAGGTGTGCTAGGGAACACTAGTGTGAGTTAGCACAGACACGTGTATAGTTTGTTTTATTTTTTAAAACATGCCTTGTCCCTTTTATTCCTCACAGCAACCCCATGAATCAGGAGTGGCAGACATCCTTCCTTTCCACATGTAAGACAACTGAGGCAGGAACAGACAGGTGACTCAACTGAAATAACAGTAACTCTCCAGTGGTCTAGGAATTTGAATTTCAAGGCCAGGATAATTTGCCTTGTTTCATGACTCTTGGACAATCAAGGCTCTTTCTTTGTGTTAGGAATAGACAATGCTAGGTTTAAAGGTGTCTCCTTCAAAAATTCATGTGAGGGACCAGCAGTTAGTGTAATGGCTATGTCACTGGACTCCTATGTAGTCGACCGCAGTTCGAGTCCCAGACCAGGTGGCTTAAACTCACTCCAGGCGTGTGTGCGTGCGTGCCCAAGATCCTGAGAGGAGAATGGAGGAGAAGGGATTGCGGTGTGGCTGGCCCCCCCCTGGGGGGGGGATTTCTCGCTTTCTGTCTCTCTGACTCTGTCTGTCTTTCTGGTGAGCACACATCCCCTTTAGCAAAAACCTCTCCAAAAATTCATGTGATGAAATTTAGCTGTGATGGGATTGAGAGGGTGAAACCTATCCAACTGTGAGATTAAGAGATTAGGTTTGGGGGAGGTAATTAAGATTAAGGTCATCAGGGTGGGACGCCCAGAGATTGAATCTTCGTAGGAATTGGCAGATGGGTACTCTCTTACTCAGTCTTGGTATGTGGTGACCTCTCTGTGTCAGGACTCTGCAGAGTCCTCACCAGCCAGAAGACCCTCACCAGATGGAGCCCTTTGACTTTAAGACTTCAAAAATTGTGAGCAAAATAAACTTCTGTTCTTTATGAACTATGTAGACTCAAGTATTTCTGTTATTAGAAATATAGCTCGTGAGACCAGCAGTTAGCATAATGGCTATGTCACTGGTCTCCCACGTAGTCGACTACGGTTCAAATCCCAGACCCAGTGGTTTAAACTCATGCCAGGTGTGTGTGCGTGCGTGCCCAAGATCCTGACAGGAGAATGGAGGAGAAGGGATTGTGGCGTGGCCATCCCCTCTGGGAGGTAATTTCTCGCTTTCTGTCTCTCTGTCTCTCTCTGTCTTTCTGGCGAGTGCACGCACCCTAT